GGCCCGGAGACTCGCCGGGAAGCAGTACGCATGCGCCATCTCGACCGCGAATGACACAGTAGAGGCAAACGGGTCTACACGCATGCGCAGTGTAACCGCAGCAATGCGCTGCCTGAGCGGCCATGGCTGTAAGACCGTAGGAATGGCCCTTGTGGGTGTGAGCGATGGTTCAGCTAGCCCAGGGCCCTGACTTCTGAGTGGCCCCGGAGACTCGCCGGGAAGCAGTACGCATGCGCCATCTCGACCGCGAATGACACAGTAGAGGCAAACGGGTCTACACGCATGCGCAGTGTAACCGCAGCAATGCGCTGCCTGAGCGGCCATGGCTGTAAGACCGTAGGAATGGCCCTTGTGGGTGTGAGCGATGGTTCAGCTAGCCCAGGGCCCTGACTTCTGAGTGGCAAGAGAGCATGACTGGCACAGTTAGCAGCTGACCTATTCTCATGGTGGTCTACTGCAGATGCATGTATTCCTTACCATTTGCTTGAGGTGGGCTTTGCCTAGACCAGTGGTTCCTGACCTGTTCCAGCACATGGACCCTGTTTCAAGCTATTACAATTTCACAGACCTCCCCAAACAATACAGCTATTTTCAAACATTCCATTACTTGATAATAATTTGAAATCTATAATAGTTCATGTTATCTAAACAAATATAGTAGTATTGAGAGATAATGCAGGGTGTCCAAATTGAAATGTAACATCGCTGAGGTGCCATATATTTGTATTGAATAGTACGAACAGAAGAATATGTACACAATTCATAGGTAATATGCTTAAGTCACATTTGGCATATAGGTACACATTATTAGGGTACATTAGGGTACACATTCGCCATGTCCACCATTTGTAGCACAGACTATGTCACATTGAGCCTCAATTTCCCTCCGCACATTGTCTGGTTGGTGTGTGAAAGGCATGCACAGAAGGCAAGCATTTTCACCTCACTCCCTGATAGTCCAGGGAATGGGATGAAAAGCAAGCCGTGGCCTGGAGTGCACAGCTGCTGCCCTCCTGCCCTCCCAAAATTCCACCCTTGAATGCAGCCCTTGAATCCGGCCCTTGCACTCCGCTGTTGGCTGGGCGCACAGCCCTGGGGAAGAAAAAAAAAGAAAAGGAAAAGAAAAATGGGCTCTATTCTTACTTTAAAACTTTTTGTGGACCTCCTGCAGTGCCATTGCGGACTACCAGGGGTCAGCGGACCACAGGTTGGGAATCATTGGCCTATCTATATATTTAATACGAGAGACATGTATAAAATCATAGAACTGTATCATGTACCTATTTCAATAAATTCCTTTCTTTTGTCATATATATCCAGATATCTCTTTATGTAGTCGGTGCCACAGTTTTCCAGCTGTCTTTTTAAACTCCCGACTCATGTCAAAAGATATTTTTACCAGATTACAATGTATCACTTCCTTATTACAAGGTATCTCAGTTATATATCCCTTATAACTATTCTAGCAAACCCTTTTTTACTGTAGGCCAGTGATTATCAATCTTTGTTTTTCATTTGCAGACCTGTGAAAAATTTCAAATGGTGTACGTGCAGAAGGGATGCTAGATATCGTGTAATTGAATCAGCATTATAATGAAAACAGGTAGTATCTGAAAATATTTGAATTTCAGATGGTTTCAGATGTCTAGTTTCATTATATCCTGTAAATACTCTAAGGTGCTTAGTAAATATTGCCAGTTCTACACACTTTCCGCTCATACTTGTTTCTCATGTTAATCCTCGCTTTGTAGTGCTCTGTACACAGCTAATCAGTCTCATTGTGCCCAGGGCCTTAAAAATGAACAGGCACAATTGTAATACAGATTGGACTTCCCTGGTCTGGCACACTTGGGACCTGACCAGTCCCGAACAAGAGATTTTGCCTGACCAGGGAAAGTCAATTCCAGTCCCATTGTTGATGGACTCTGGGCTCTCCTGGGGTCCATCAGCAGACCTGGCCAGGCTCCCCTCCAGGCTCTGGGCTCCCCTCCAGGCTCCTACCTGGCTCCTCTGCTGGCTGGCGTGGCTCCCATCCCTATCACTAGCCTGGCTGCAGGGCTCTCCCTGCCCCCAGACCGCTGGCCCTGACAGACAGGCTTTGCATCCCCAGCCAGGGCGTGCTGCCAGTCCAGGCCCAACCCCAGTCACTGGGTGGGCTCAGCCCAGCCAGGTCTAGCCCCAGCCAGCAGGTGGGCTCCATGCCCATGGCCGGACTCTACTGTCAGAACTACCGGGCTCCACACTGCCAGCTCCATGCCCCGGGCTAGGCCACCAGGCTCCACACTGCCAGCTCCAGGCCCCAGGTTAGGGATGTCATTGAGTAGACAACTACACAATTAACTGATAAGCCTAGACTTATCAGTTAATCTTTTTCTCAAATGTACACTAATATCCCTAGCATGTAGACCCCTTCGGAAATCTAAAACATAGTCTGTGGTTGTCCCAGGGATTTCAAGTTTCTATGGTAATGATTAAAAAAAAACCTTATAAAACAACAATGGTCCTGTAGCACCTTAGAGACTAACCAAAAATATATAGATAACTTTTGGGGGCACAATCCACTTCTTCCCTTTTGTGAACCCCTTAGACATAACTACAGACCAGTGGGGATCTGCAGATCACAGGTTGAAAACCACTGCTGGAGACAAGACCTGAGTTCAAACCTCACTGAAATAAATGGGGCAGTTCATACCTATCAGAACTACTTTTTCAGGTTTCTTGCAGACTCATCTCAGCTTACATTTCCCTCCTACAACCCTGATAACTAGATTTTTCAAAAATAAAAACTAAGATTCTGGAGAAAAAGACAGAAACTTTATAAAGGTGTCAGCAAATTGTACTGGTGAATGTGACATTCCTCACTTATAACTTTACAGGCAAACAGAAATAGAAATGCTATCAAGTAGATTGTTTGACCTTGCTTTGCTTGGTCATCAAAATACATTCAAAAAAACTACCTGAGAAACCATTGCGGGAGTTGTACAGATTGTGGCAAACCTATGTAGAAAATCCCTTAAGATAAGGGGTAAAGTGGGGAAGGATGGTGCCCCTTGATGATCTCTGATGATTTCTGTTGTCTCCGGCAATCATTTAAACACCTAACAGATTGGTGCTCCACCAGTCTATGTGGTGTGGTTATGGGTCATATTCTAGTCTAACAGAATGTAACTGGAAAGCTGCTATGGATTGTTGCAAACATCAGGGACAATATTATAGTAGAAAATATGCACAGGCAGAACCGCAAATTGACACGATCCAAGCCAATGCCACCATGCAATAATGGTAATAGTGGGACTCGAACCCATTCAACCACGATTCAAAAACTAGGGCTCAGTCGCCGACTAATCCACAAGCCTTGCTATCGATTGGGCATTTTTAAATACACGCCCTCCCTATGCAGCCAATCAGCGCGCCCGCCCGTTCCAGGCGCCGGGGCCTCTCAAAGTCAAAGCGGCCCTGTGAATCGCTTGTACGCATGCGTAGTGGCATGGTTCGGCTACCCAGCACATGCGCTTCTACAAGGCACCATCTTCTACCCCCCTCCCGGGCTTCGTGTGGCGCATGCGTAGTGCTTCCCGCGGAGGCGCGTATCTGTGTGGTGGCTCCGCAGGCCGGGACGCTGGTTTCGTAGAAGAGGCGGCGGCGGCCCCGCGCGCAGCGAGGCGAGAGCAGCCGGGGAAGCGGCGGCTGGGGGGC